AATTTAATTTTATTTTTTGGTAAAATAAAATCCAAAATTCAAATTAATTCCGAAAATAAACGTGTCTGGTTTTACTATACACCCAAACAGGGCCCTTCTCCTTTTTTATCTGTTTGAATTATGAACCCAACAGATTCAAATCTGTTTGAATTCAAAACCAACAGGTTTCATACCTGTTTAATTCAAAACCTACAACCACCAATCCATCTATAAATAGGACAACCCTCATTTGATGTTTTAGACATTCAAAAAATTCGTACTTCACCCCTGCAAATTATTCTTCATTTTGCTGCATTTAATTTTTGTGAGAAAGAGTATAAACACTTAGTGTGTTCGTTAGGCAAACAATTTATAGTGCTACTATTGTTTATAGTTGATCATTTCATCTTGGGAGATAGACATCCACATTCTGAAAGCACCATGGAGAGGACGAATCTATCTTAAGGACAGTGTACTTCACTATCTTATACTTCTATAGCCAAATAAAATATAAATCAGATTTGATCACCACCCTTCTAAGTAAATTTTTTTATTTTTTCTATTTTCATCAAAACTTTATCATGTGGCGGTCACATTTAAGGTATGGTCAACTTGTCCCAAAGGTATTGTATAAGCCTTGTCCCACATTAGTTTGGTGGGAAGTTTTGAATGGGTTTATAAGGCATGGGTTTGGTACTTAGGGTGTGCCCCAAGGGGTACCCAAGTGTTTTAGAGGGAGAGGTTATGGGCAAAATGGGCTAGACCCATTAGACCCAAAAATCACCACACGCACGCGCACGCCGCCGTCCGTCCGGTCGGGCAGGCTGGGTTGGGCTTGGGCCTGGGCGCGGGTGCGTGGTGTGAGGTTGGGTTGGGCCAAAAAATATTTGAATTTAATTTTATTTTTTGGTAAAATAAAATCCAAAATTCAAATTAATTCCGAAAATAAACGTGTCTGGTTTTACTATACACCCAAACAGGGCCCTTCCCCTTTTTTATCTGTTTGAATTGTGAACCCAACAGATTCAAATCTGTTTGAATTCAAAACCAACAGGTTTCATACCTGTTTAATTCAAAACCTACAACCACCAATCCATCTATAAATAGGACAACCCTCATTTGATGTTTTAGACATTCAAAAAATTCGTACTTCACCTCTGCAAATTATTCTTCATTTTTGTGAGAAAGAGTATAAACACTTAGTGTGTTCGTTAGGCAAACAATTTATAGTGCTACTATTGTTTGTAGTTGATCATTTCATCTTGGGAGATAGACGTCCACATTCTGAAAGCACCATGGAGAGGACGAATCTATCTAAAGGACATAGTGTCAAACACTAGACTTGATCAGATATTTATTAGAAGAAATTAATCAAGTGAGTTGTTTAATTTATTATTCTAGTTTTTTTTTTTATTATTACATCATATTTTAATTTTGTTTTTGTAACAAAATAAAATCTGTTTTTATTTATTTATTTATTTGTAGTTTGATTTTTGTAATCAAACAAATTCTCTCATTTTTTTTATTTCTTAGATTCTTGTTGTTGTTTAGTACACAACAGAATTTAATCTATTTAAATACAGTGAAGATTGCCCAACAGCTGCAACATTTGAACAAGGCACGACTTTCCTGAGAAGATTGAGAAAAAACATTGTACGCATACAGAAAATAGAAAGTCTGCATCATACATTGTGTGTGTCAGTAAATATGTATTTTGTGCCCAATGTACTATGTTTATACGATATCAAGGGAAAAACAAACCAAAATAAAATTATAAGAATTATAATTTTTTGCAAATTCTATCATTTAACTTCAAAAATAAAAAAATAAAATAAAATTTCATGAATTCTCTTGTATAAACTAGCTGTGAAAGCAGAAATACCTTTAACTCTGTTAAGCTCCCAACATTGGAAGATAAGTACCCAATTTGCACCTTAAAACAAAGAAACAACATCTAGTAACCTTAATAGGAACACTTTATTGTGTTATTTGTTGATCTTGGATTCAACCTCCATGAGACTATATTTGTGGAGTGCACTCTATGTGGAAGTATGATCATAAACAAAGATTAATTATGCATTGAGAAAAAAAGGGCCATTAGATGAAGCCTAGTTGGTAAGGTCATAAAAGAAGTAGTAATTTTCTTTCTTAAACTATTCTAGTTAGTAAGATCATATATTTTAGTAGTATTTAACTTTTTGAAAATTATTTTGATTTCTTCCTTGGGTTATGATTCAAGTGACCCAAAAAAGATACTTAGATATCAGTAAGGTGAGATTTCATATTTCAATCAATGAAATAGTGTCGACTTGTTATGGTAATCCAATTTTACGAACTTACTAATATCCTAGCGTGTGAGAAAAAAATACATATATATATATATATGGCTGCATAATTTAAGTCAACTAGAATAATTGTTGTGTTTGATTTTGGTTAATCTTCTGTCATCTTTGTACATATTTCTGATAATACACTTGTGAAGTATATCCTTAATTTTTCACAGCAGTTGGTGTGATAGTGAAAGCTGAGATTTTGTGAAGATAGTGGAAATTCCAAACAGGAGACAATATATACATATATGCACACAATTTCAATAGATTTTAACCAATTGATCAATCATTAGGAGTGATTCCAAATAGATATACTCTTATATATTTCTCACTTTCAACCCAATTTATATATATATATATATACTCAAAAATTTAACCCAATTTATATATATACTCTTCTATATTTCACACTTTCAACCCAATTTATAAAAAAAAAATAATTAACTGGAATATTAATTATGAAATCAGACAATATAAAATCACATCCAAAGAACAAAATATCCTCACAATCACCAGGAAAAAAAAAATCCAATATAAAACCAGACAATTCAAGAAATGGATATTGATAAGAATCGACAAACACAGTTCTAGATCTTCAATTTGGACAAAAAAAATGATAAAATAATAATAATAATAATTAAAAAGAAAAAAAAAAGAAACAGGATGAATCAATGAATGAATAGAGAAATGGACCTGCAAATAGAACAGGCGTTATAGAGATGGAGACCAGTAGATTTGCTCCAAACAATCGTTGTTTCTCTCTGATTGGTGAGTCCAATTGCCTTGAGTCCACCGTCAACATTGTATCCATTTACAGTGACTTTGTCAATTGCCTTGCTCATAAAAATCCTCATTCTCCAGAATCTCCATCAGATCATGCTCTACCCATCTGCAGATTCACAAACAAAATAACAATAAAAAAACAGAGCAATCACAGAGAGAGAGAGAGAGATCTTCATACCCTGTTTGTGGGTAGAATTGCGTAAAGTCGACCGAGTGAGATATCCAATTGGGTGGGCATTTTTGTCATAGATAATGAATCTGGTGCTGGTGGTTCCTTTATCGGTTGACCCAATAAACACATTCTTTTTCGACATTTCTATTCTTCTCTTCCTCCTTTGAATGGTGTTGTTGTGTTGCGTCTCAAATTGACCAAAAAAAAAAAGCAAAAGAGAGTTATGAAGACGGGGAGAGAGAGAGAGAGAGGGTGAGTTCAAAATTTGAAATAAAAAAAAAAAGAAAGAGATGAGAGGAGTAAGTGTGTGAGAGAGAGACTAAACATTTGAAATGTTTGACATGTTCCCAATAGCGACTAAACATTTTTAGTCGCCAATTCAGTTTACAAATCCCTCCAAAATTTGAAATTTTCCCTCCAGAAATTTCATTATTTGGCAACTAAACTATTTTTTTATCGCTGAAAATAGGTTTTTGGCGACCAAAAGTTTGGTCGCCAAAGATGAAAAATAATTTTTTAATTTTACATTCGGCGACTAAATATTTTAGTAGCCAAAAAACAATATACAGCGACTAAAATAACTTTTTGTCACCAATTCTGGTCTTTTTAGCAACCAAACTGATTTTTAGTCGCCAATTGTAGACTTTTGGCTACTAAATTTTTTTTAGTTGCCAAAAGGCTTTACTTTTGGCTACTAATTCTTTTTTAGTCGCCAAAAGCTATACTTTCAGCGACCAAATTTTTTTTTAGTCACCAATTTGGTTGCCGTATGTGCATTTTCTTGTAGTGATGCAAGGAAGTCTATTTCAATGGTCCCAAAAATGTCTAAATATGAACAATTAAGTAGAATTCATGGAATATTCTCAAAATCAACTAGTATGATCTTCTTACATGTATAGATTTTGATAACCAAGCTTTAAAAAGTGATGAATTGATGCATGCATGCTCATATTAAGCCACTTCTCACTATTTTCTAGTTGATTCAACAATTACTCCATCAATCTCTTAGTTTTCAACTTGATTACAATTCCTAATTGGATTAAATTCAAGAATTGGAGGTGAAATTCATACCTAGAGTTGAATTTGGTGGCTTGCAAGCGTAATCTCCTCAATTCTCCCTTTTTCCTTTACAATTTTACTCCTGTCTCTCTCTAGCGTTGATCTCACTCTTTCTCTGCAAGTGTTTAGCTCAAAGGAGGATGAGAAAATGTCTTCATTAAGCTTATATTGCCTATATATATTTGGATTATCTTACGTTAATTAATTCAGTTTAATTCTAATTATTTTGATTCTAAATCAAATTCTAATTAAATTCATCATAAGGTTCTAAATATTCTAATGGACCTATTGGCTTAGTCAATTTCGCTTTCTATCACCATTAAAGCCCTCAATTTTCATTTTATGTCTGAGTTCACAACAGATATTTCTATAACTAACAAATATGCAGTCAATAATCATATTAAATACACTTTGGGTGTTTGGAAAGTGAACTTTTTGTAGACTTTTTTAATTGTCAGATATTATTGAAGAAAAAAAAAATTATGTTTGAAAAGAAGATTGAATTTTTTTATAGTTGAATGTGATGTTTATTAAAAAAAAAGTGAGATGATTATAAAATTTAATGTGATATTTTGTTTGAATTTGTTTTTTTTTATTTATTTTATAACCAATTTGTCTTCTAATGAAAAAAATCAAAAAAAAAAAGTTGAGAACCAAGTTCCCAAACACTGCCACAATTAACATAGAATTTCACTTTAAGCACGTAATCAATAATAATTAATAGCACATTACAGACCAGGGTTATTATAGCAGCTGACAGTTTATTCTCACTAAACCGTCCAGTGATTTTTCAAGTCGGCTGTATCAATTTATTGAACACCCCTACTACTTCCCAAAACAACCCTCTTGATTATCCTTGTCTCCAGGAGAAGGGCTCCAGTAAACTACTCAATCTATAAAAGGTAATGGTGTTGCCTCTGTTGTGACGGACAATCAGATCCATTACACACTACTGCTCTTCTAATGACTCTTAGGAGAAGTGCTCCAGTAAACTACTCAATCTATAAAAGGTAATGGTGTTGCCTCTGTTGTGACGGACAATCAGATCCATTGCACAATGCTTCTCTCGATAAAATGACGGCCCAATGATAAAAACCTCAAATTGCTCACCATCTTTAATTTTAAACCCAATATAGTCTTCTACTTCTACATGGCGTCGCCAAACATAATCTCCACTACTCTCAGGGATGGCAAAGAACAAGGTTGGGGTACAAGTTTTTTTGGATGGGTGGGTACAAGTTAAACTGATGCGATTTATGTCATCACTGATGTATGGATAACCATCTAATTCCATGGAGCAGCTTTCTTCATCCCCAGCTTTATAAAAAGCAACTCCTACATTAAACATTTTATCATGGCCATCTATCGGAAAAGACCCTGTTAGTCGATGGAGGAACTCCCTGGGTAACTCCCTGTCATGAAGATGCTGTCATATGAATTTCTAATTAGTAGAGTGCTAGATGAAAAATAAAATAAAATAAAAATAAACAAATGAAACTAAAATAAATTTACGAATACAAAATCAACATGATAAAATATAGACAAAATAATTTGAGAGTGAAATTATATCTTTTATGATAAGTCCCACTCTTTTTTTGTGACATGGATGATTAAGATTATGTCGTGTTGTTTATTCTGTATCCCCATAATCTTGTTTGAAATTTTTTTTGCATCAAATTAATGCAGTGACCAGTTTTAATTTTATCATTTACAATTAAAAAACTCATCAAAGTTATTTATATTTGAAAAAAGAAACGTTATATATGTCACATGTTTTTATCATTGTTTTGTATTATCATCTACATGAATATTAATAATTGGCTCATTTGTTTAGAAATAATTATTAAGAAATTAATGAAAACAAATAACATATTATCATAGAGAATGGTTATATATGACCGATTATTTATCATTATTTTGCACCACCGTCTATATAGATTCTTATGATTAATTCTCTTATTTGAAAATGATTATTAACAAATTAATGCAAACAAATGACATCTTTCCAATTATGTTGGTGATATAAAAAGATGATATAAAAAGATGATATAAACATGTGACACATAATTGTCTAATATATTATGATGTAGCCAATAAAAAACTAGTAAATCCTATTTTTAAAATTGTTACTGCCACATCATTCAAGTAAAAAATTTTGAATGAAAAATCAGAAGAGTAAGATATTATTTCCATTTCTAATAGGCAACTCCTCTCTAGTCCACAGGTGCTGTTTAGGTCCATGAAATCCACCATAGGTTCCATTCTATAATCTAAACTATTCATTTTATTTGACACTTCATTTATTTCATTTCCACAAGAATTAAGTGGATAATTTGAACCTATTTAATTTATTACATTTGTCATAAAAAAAATATATAATTTATTTTTAAAAACACAATTGCCACCTTTTTTTTTTGATAAATTGAATATATTATAATTATTGGATCGATTTAATTTTTTTTTTGAATAACATACACAAACACAAAATACCTGATAAAATAATCTGACACCAGATGGAATCCTCCACCTTTGGTATTATATAGGCCACATCTAAAATAAATTTGGTTTCACACACATCACTTAATTTTCAGAGAGATTTTTTTTTTGCTAAATTGTTGCACCTGTGAGAGAGAGAGAGAGAGAGACCTGACGGGGATTTTGTAAATTGTTGAGCCTGTGCCTGTCCAAGGGGATGATTCGTGCACCTTGAAAACAGTGAGGATCTTCCATTCCATCCCTCTTCTGATTTAAGAGAATATGCAGAACTTCAAATCGGATGTTACTCAACCGCACAAATAGATTCTTCACTTTTGATATATTGGATATTTTTTCAAGTGATGCACAACCACAAACATTTATGCTAAGTAAATTAGGAGGAAGATCTAAGATAGATTGAAGACTTGTGCAGTCTTCCAACCCAAGGTTTTCTAGCTTGGATAGATGACTGAAGCCATATGGCAGGCTACAAAAATTGTTTCTGCCTAAATCCAAGGTTCGCAATGAGGATAAACTCCAAATATTAGCTAGTAAGTTTCCCTCCGACAGATTGCAATCACTGAGAACTAGCTTTGTTAAGGAACACAAACTTGAAACAGAGGATGGTAACAATCCTATGGAGTCTGGAGTTTTTCTCGGTAAAACCCAAGATGAAATGAGACACAACCAGGATTTAATTGTGAATTGCCTATTACATCCCTTCAACGATAAGCTCTTAAGATTCTTCAATAGTCCAATAGAGAAAGGTAATTGTTTAATGGCTGTTCCATCTGCAAGAAGCTCTGTTAAGCTTTCCATATGTCCCACGTGCTCTGGAAACTCCTCTAGTTTTGCACAACCAGTGAGATTTAGATGTTTCACAGACTTTAACTTGCAGATACTGCCTGGAAGATACCTGAGCTTCATGCAATCTTTCAAATTCAAGTGAACAAGTTTATCTAGAAGCCCAATTGATTCATGGAGCTCCATTAAACCTGTACAACCTTGAAGCAGTAACTCCTCAAGCATCGAAAGTGCGCAGAAGATAGGGCTCTTTGTTAGCCATTTAGAATTACTGAGATTTAGAATTTTCAAGCTCTTGAAGTTCTGTTAAAACCAAAAAAAAAAGATAAGAAATTATATTATTTTTTTTCTTTCTACATGATTCACTACTCCATTGATCCAAATCCCAAACAAGAATGAATTTGCTAACAGTGCCATACCTCGCCATCTTTCCAGAGTGCTTTAATTTTGCTGAACTGCATGTCTAAAATAACGAGTTTCTCTGGATGAAAATTGTATGGTAAATACTCCAATGGACAGTTATGCCAACAGAGCCACCTTAACTCTTCAAATAGATGTTCAAAATTTCCACTCAAGTGCACATGATTTATTTGAAGTAGTCTTAACTTTTGCATCCCAACAAATGCTTTATTACTCCACCGTATCATATTTAACATGGGTAGTCCAGTCACACCTTCGACTTTTTCTGTTCCCTAATATAGCAATATTTAAAAACAAAATTGAAAATTAGAAGGAAGAAAAACTATAAAAACAACTGAAATTAGCATTCCAAGCCAAAAGCTTACTAACTAGAAAGAAAGATTTGACTTTTACCTTGTTTTTTCCAAGTACGTTCAATACATCTTCATAAAGCCACAATCTACTGCGCTTTCCAAGCTCATTGGGAGATTCTTGACGAATGATTTCCCTTCCCATATCCCGAAGTAGATCATGCATTGTCAACTCATTTTGTTCATTAATTTTCAATAAACATCTATGAATCAACACACTGATTCCATATTTAGCAGATAAATCACAAGCATTCAATATAGTAATGGCACGATCTTTGTCCATTCCAATGAAAAAGCACGCAATATCAAGGAAGATGTCCTTAAATTGGTCATTACCTAGTGCATCAAAACTTATCTGAAGTTTTTTCTGAATCTTCTCATGAGGAATTTGTCGTAATAAACCAAATGCATATTCCCATACTTCCATGTCTTGTTCAAACAAATGAGAACCTAAAACTTCAAGAGCTAGTGGAAGCCCTCCTGCATAACGTACTATACTATTTGCAAGCCCTGCATAATTTTCTAATGGATTGGTTCCTCTGAAAGCATAAGAGCTGAAAAGCTGCAGAGATTCTTTGTGATTCAATTCCTCAGCCATGTAGCTTCCATCAACTTTCGGTGACTTCAACAAGTGCTCATCTCTAGTTGTTATGATGATTCTACTTCCTGGACAAAACCAATCATGATTTCCTGCCAAGGTACTTAATTGACTTGAATCATCCACATCATCAAGAACAATGAGAACCTTTTTAGAATGGAGCCTTTCTTTCATCAAATTAGTTCCACGGTGAACACTATCAATGTTTAGATTCTTTGTCCCTAATAATGTAGAAAGAAGTCGTTCTTGCAATTGAGCCAGGCCATTGGATTGTCCTGCACATTCTCTAACATTTGCAAGAAAACAACTCCCTTTAAATTGGCGAAAAATACGGTTATACACAGCTTTTGCAATGGTCGTTTTGCCTATTCCACCCAAGCCGTATATCCCAATCATGCGAACATCATCTGATCCAATGCTCAACAACAAATTGATGTCTTCAACACGAGACGCTATTCCAACTGGGTGGTCAGCAACCTCTAGGAATGTACGTTTCAGTTTACATGAAATCTCTTCAACAACTTTTTGGATGAACTTTGCTTCAAACCTGTCAATTTCGATCCAAATTAAAAGTAAAGCTATAGCATATTACCGAAATCCAAAACCTTACAAACCCCACTCAAAATATGCAGTTAAGAAATGTAAAATTCAAAACATCTTGAACTTACAAAGTGAACTAACTATATTTGATATATCTATATATATATATATATATATAAATATTAAAAACAATAAGAATAGGATTTTCTAGTTAAGGATAAAAATTGATAGCAGCAGCGGCGGCGGCGGCGGCAGCAAAATTAAAAAGATGTTAAAACATTACCCATTAGCAACATTTTTCAAATCCCAGCCTGATATATTACCAGCTTCAGAGAGGGCAGCTTCAGCGAGGGCAGCCTTCCACACCTTCACCTTCTCCATCTCATCCAGGTAACGCTTTTCGTGTCTTCCAAATGCTTCTCTAAAACACCCCGTTTGGTGCCGTACATCAGATGGATCAACATGGTAGAATATTGGGAGAACTAATTGTCCATGTGTTTTCTTGCATTCAATGATCTTCACGAGCTCGTCAAGGCACCATCTCGAAGAAGCATAGTTTCTTGAGAAAACAATGATGGAGATCCTTGATTCTTCGATTGATTTGAGAAGCTCCGAAGAGATTTCACGTCCTCTTGGAAGTTCATCATCATCCTTGAAGGTGCGAATTCCAGCTTGAACCAAGGCCTCGTAGAGATGATCCGTAAAGTTTTTACGGGTATCTTCACCTCTGAAACTCAAGAACACGTCATAGCTCCAGCGAGGTTGTGTCGAAGATGATGAAGAAGCAAAACAAGAAGAATGATCTAAGGTTCTTTTAGAGGCCATGGATAAACCCAAGATCAAATGAATTGCAGGGAGGAATAAAAGTGAGTGAGCAGGGTGACTCTGCAAAAGGTAAGAAAGCGTTACTTGCAAGCACTCCTATCTGATGGGCTTTTGATCTTAAAATATATGGACGAAATGCTGTAGAGAGTTAAAATAAAATAACAATAATAATTTAAGGGAAAAAAAAAGATTAATTTTTGTTGTGAGCAATAAATATCACCTGTGATTTCAAATTCTGGTAAATTTCTGAGTTTTTTCTTAAATTTGAAGACCCACTCACCTAATAGTCAACCAGTAAACACTCCATCTTTCTCTTATGTTTCCTACCTCTCTCTCTATTTCTGGAATCCAAAGATGGCGGTTGGTGTCGGTCGGGTGCAGTGAAGAACACATCAGTAGGAGTGGATGATGATTTCAAAAAAAAAAAAAAAAAAAAACATATAGACCTAATATATGTCAAAATAGTTACAAATCTAAGAGATCTTATCAAAATATTTACAGATCTGAAAGAAATCAACCCCAATAGTTACCGATCTTAAAAAAATAACCAAAGTAGTTACAGATCTAAGAGAGATGTACCAAAATAATTCTCTTCCCTCTACAAAATAGTTACAAATCTGATGCTCTGCCTTCTACTTGTGTTCGTTGATGATGAAGAGTGTCTGACGGTGATGAGTTCGACAAAAATATTGAAGATAATCAAAAGAGGAGAGATTGATGGGAGGAGACGACCATTGTAAGAGACCAGTGATGGAAAGAGAAGCCTGTAAGTGGGGGAAAAAAGCAATGAAAGAGATGAGGTAAAAAACCAGAAGAGACGAAAATCTCAGAAGTATTGAACGAATACTGAGAAATGAGGAAGAGAGAGAAAGAGAGACGTGCAGGCCTTGTTTGGTTTGTTTTGAGAAATAAAAATGTTGTGAATTTTTTTTAAAAATTTTGTTTAGTTTCATGATTTCAGAAAAAAAAAATTCAAAATCTTTTATCTCCTATATATCAATCCGTCATTTCTTCTCTCTCATTTTTCATTCTCAATCATTTTTTCTCTCACACATATCTATTCAATTACAATAAAACATAAATCATCTCAAACTTTCATTCTCCAACACTATTTTCAAAATATACAATGATTTGGTTTATGGTTGTTTTTGTTAATATATGAAATGTTTTTAATTTTGAATTTTTTGATATAATGGATTGATTTAATAATGACATTAAAATTGTTACTGTGTTTGATTTTTGAAAAAATAGATATAAAAAAATTATTTCTATCCTCCCAGAGAATAAAATTATATAAAAAGTGTATTTATTTAGAACATCTTAAACCATTTTTTACACATTTTTTTACAAAAAGTCAAAAAGTGCATTTATTTAGAATATCTTAAACCATCAAAATATCCAAAATTAAAACATTTCATATATTAAACATATCGATTATACATTAAAAATCTAATAATCATTTATTACATAATAACTATCCAAAAGTATCTATTAACAACAAATACAACTATCTATTAGATGATAAGCATAAAAAAATATTAAAAAAATAACAAAACAACCAACCATTACATGATTATTATCCAAACATATACTAACATTATTTTGGAAAAAAATAAAAAAAATAAAAATGTGAAATATTTATCATTTTTATATAATTTTATCTTTGGTGGATATAAATAATTTTTAAAAATTCAAAAATAATTTTTTAGAAATAATTTTTTAAAATTCAAAAATAATTTTTTTTCACATTTATTTTTGTTAAACTAGTTGTACGGGGAGCAAATATTCAGGCGTGCCCGTATTCCTTTCTTCCGAGCTCCGTCGATATCCGATCACCTGCGAGCAAATAACGGTGAGCTACCCGGCGGTGTGTGGCCGGAAAAACCCTCCGACGGTCAAGTTAGCACACACCTTCGAGGGAATAGAGAGAAGGGAGAGAGTATATGAGTGTAAGAAATTCCTTACAGAGTGTTCGAGTATCGCGTATGGGGGGCGCAGACATACTTATATACCTTCTGAGCCCCATATCCACTCCCTGTCATCTCCTGACACGTGGCTCTGCTATCCCATCTGTCAGCATAAACCATGCCATTCATCACCTGCTCACAACTGCCTGTCAGCACAGCTGGAGCTCGGCAGCCGAGCTGCCCTACCTCAGTCATACCATGCTTCATACCTCAAGCGCCTAACCGGATAAACACACGGAGGACCGGGCTAAGCGGCATCCCGGCCGAGCCTAGCCCGGATACTTCGATCGGCCTTCCTGCCGACCATACAGTCTCTTCGGCTGACCACGCCTTTCCGGGCACCGGCCACTCAACTTCCTCGGTTGTCCATGCCTTCCTGGGCGTCGGTCACTCGGTCAATCTGGCTTTGGCCATCCTCGGACCGGGCACCCTGGTCCGACCGAGCACTGCCTTACCGAGCAGTTTCTGTCCGGTCCGGGGTGACACTCAGCCCGTACTCTGCCCGGCCCAAATTCTGGCAGCCCACTTTGGGTAAAAAGTCGATCGTCTCGGACCTATGCACCGTTGGGCCCTCAACTTGCTCAGTCGATATCTCGGCCCAACTCCAGATCATAAATTACCCTCTCACTAGTTTATATTTTATCAAATTGATAACTTTACCCTTAAAATAGAGCAACAATATATTCAATTGTCTTTATTTAAATAAGATTCAAAATTCATGGTCAAATGTATCACAATTAAAAGATTATGAACCAAAGTGACACAAGTTCCAAATTACAGAGACTGTTAATATAATTCATTCTAAAAAGAATAAATCATTTCGATTTGTATGTCAACCCTTGAATCATTTTGAGAAGAGTGAGTTAACTATATTACTGCATAATTTCATTCTATTTTTTGAATAGTTATTATTGATTAGATTAAATTGATATAATGCACAAATTTTAAAAATAAAACTAATACAATTAAAATCTATAAGAATCAAATTAGCACAAAAGAAAAATTACAAAAATTAAGAATATAATTTATCCTAAAATTAATGTAAGCTTCCAATTAACGGAATGCCAAATTTTTGTTTTGCCAAAAGCACTCTTTAAAAATTATTTATATATATATATATATATATAACCAGCTTCGTGATCTACCCGGTCATTCTATTCCATACAATTATCATGATTACGTTGATGCTTGGTTCAAGATTTTCTTGTACCAAAATGAAACTTTTAGTCATTCCTGGTTCATCTCATTTGATCAAAAATTCAAATCTGAGTTACCAACTTGGTTTCTGAGATGGTGGTCTCACTATGGCGCCATTTCAGCTATCCTTCCTGATGATCTCAAACATATAATTCATTATTTCAACTCTGTTTACCCATTTTCTGCTCACCAGAAGCAATTTCCCTTATTACTCATATTCATTGCCAAATACAAGATTCCATGGATATTCAAATGGCAATATGGGATTGATGATAATATTATCATCCGCCAACACACAGTTAAATGGTGGGATAAATTCAATGTTCCCAGAATTCTTGAAATTGTTCCAGCAGAATTTCCACCTGATCAATATGCTCCAACCCCTGCTCTTGCTCAAGCCCAGCAGAACCCAACTGCTGCAGTCACTCAAGGAAGCCAGCCCAGTCTTCCTCCAGTCAACCTTGGCAGCCCCTCTTCTAGTGGCTCCAAGCCCAAATCAACAAAATCAAAGTCCAAAGCTGTTGCTGCTCAACCAGCCCAATCCAAGTCCAAAGCACAGTCCAAAGTCAAGGCAAAGCCCATTCCACCTCCTGTTCAGCCCAAAGGTAAATCCAAAAGTAAAGCCCAATCATCCAAAGCAGACATGATCCAGTTAGCCCATCAACTATTGAATCAGGCTAAAACCCAATCCACCGACTCAGACAATTCAGATGATTCAGCTCAGGTCCATTCCTCTGAAGAATCAACCAATCGATATTCCGGACCAGAGTTTCAAGATGCTCAAGACCCATTTATCTGATCAACATTGGATTCCATATAGATACAAATTAGCTTCAATCAATACTCTTTTGAGAAAAGCTGCCAATTTGTATTTATATTGATTCATAATTCACATGTTCCACCGAAAGTAATGAATAGTAAAACTACTGTTCACTTTTACTGTTCATCGTCACTATTCAACCAATCAACTTTTGTTAAAGGCTGTTCAGTTGTGTAAACTCCACCGAAAGCATCCGACAGCATCTGCTTTTCACCTGCTCAGCCAGCTGCTTTCAGAATTCACATGCTCACTGTTTTGCTTTTTATTTCTTTATATTGTAATCAATTGTAAGCATTCGGCATTCTTCAATTTTCTTCTCCATCTTTGTTGTAAGAAAAACCCAGAGTGTTTTGAGAGCCTTACCAATTTCCCTGTTGTACCTATTTAAGATCCTTGCAGTTGCTACTAATACAATTGTAAGTTATTTTATGTTTTAATGTTTAAATATTTTAATGTTTAAATATTTTAATGTTATTCCAATATTTGGTCTGGTTTTGATTTCGTAATCCATCTCCTTCATTTATATGCTGCTTCCGCCTTTATGGTATCAGAGCCACGTGATGTTGTATCCTGTTCCTAACTGTTTAGCTACTTCTGTTCAATCGTCTTCCTTGTTTGTTTAATTAATCTTGTTTTCAGTTCATCTTAATCACCCGAAAGATCAGTCTATTCTATCCACCTAGTTTAAGTCACCCACTTCTTCCCAGTCTTCTGTAAGTCCTTAGCTTTAGGCAGAGTCAGACTTTGGGGTTTAAAGATAGGGTATGTATGTACACTAGGTATGTGGTAAAATTGACAAGAATAGGGTATGTATTAAGATATCTGTAAAACTGGTTAATTAAATCACAACAATGAATCGATTATTTGGAAGTAACTCATCAGTCAGTTCT